CGTCAACGACCTTCCAGAGTTTCTTGCAAGTCCATGTTTACTTTTTGCGGACGAATTAAAATCTTGGAGTTCCAATGCCAGTGCCCACCAAATGGATGCGAGCGCTGCAAAGCAGTGGTCGTTGAACTATCACCTTCCTCTGAATGACAAAAAGTGCGTCCATATGTCATTCAGAGGAGACCGAGCGAATGCCTTTGTCATGCATGGTGAAAAAGAACCAGAAAAAATCATGAGGATAGACGCTCTCCTCAAACTTGTCCTTCTCACTACACCATGAGAAATAGGCCCAAAAGGCATTCACCATTTTACGGATGATTCGGCGCACCTTCTCCCGTATAACTCGCATGGACTTCTAAATACTCTATGGGACCTTCGTCGGACCGTTCCCTGAATCTGCCAACCAAGTTGTCTACTCAGGACGCACAAAAGACGTCACCCTCATTGAGCGTGTTCAGCGAGCCGCTACGAAAATGGTTAACGGCCTCAGGTTCACTGACTAAGAAACGCGTCTCGTGGTGCCTCGCATTTTTCCTCTGGAGTATCGTCATCTCCTAGGTGACCGAATTCTTACTTACGCCGTGTTTGAACGAAGTTTGGCAAATGGGTTTTCAACGCTGACACAGCAAACGTACACCGGGGACATAGTATGAAGATTTTCAAGTCCAGAGCGCACACATTCATCAGGCGAAATTTTTTTCATTTCGGGTAGTAGCTGCGTGGAATGACCTTCCTTCCACGGTTGTCCGCTCTCTTTCCAGAACCCTATTCAAAGCATTATTAGACGTTTGTTTACACGAATCCTCGCGCTGGAAAGCATATTGTGCTGACAACAATTGGGCATTTTAGGTGAATGACAGCCACCGAGCGACCAGAACAAAACCGACCCGGGAAACTTGGGCAACTGCCTTGACCCTGTGTATCAATCCGCGAATCCGTGAAGACCAACTAGTTAGAATTTGAAGGTAGCGGACAAAACCAAAAGGAGATATGTTGTCCCGTCTAACACATTACACAAAAACTATAAACTACGGGGAATGGTGAACCAAAAATGCGGATCTGGTAAAGCAACAGAGTTGGCCTCACTAGTTGGTCAAAGTGAACTAAAACCCAAAACCAGAGCTGAGGCCTCGTGGCCTTGAACTTTTGGGTTTGTGGCCAGAACCGCAAAAAGCGTAAGTAGGGATGATATAGTCAAGGCATTAGTAATGCGGATGAATGGTAGCAGAAATAACATAATTACGAGATGCAATGAAACTGCGGAGGTTCATTGGTGTCTCTGGTTTAGTGGAGCGGGTTGTAAAATTTCCCCGGAAGAGTGAGTTGGTGGCAACACGATCCGGTACGCGAAGTGTATAGAGAATTATTGATTTTTTGGAGCACAGCCTGAAAGCCCAGCGAACTGATTAATTCAGAACGAAAGGCTTTTATAGATTGGAATGAACGAGTCCTGGAGGTGGTTGGGGCCGCGTTAAGAGTTTGTTCGCATATTCAGTTGGTGGAATGATTGGACGAGAGGGTGCGATCAAAAGTAGAAAGTGAATAGTAGAAAGTATAAAGTAGTATAAAGTGAATAGTTGCAGGTGTGCCGCTAAACTGAGTATGGCAGTGTCGTTCTATGATTGCACTGACATACTTTGGTTTTTGGACAGCTCTGTAACGGACGTCATGTTTGTGGTGCTTGACCTGGAATGTGCAAATGTGTGATCAACGGGAATCTTTGGGTTGGCCAAGAGAAATCCGCAGAGGTAAAACAAAGCCGATGCAAGATCGTAGGTTTTCGGTCCAGTTGGGGATCTCTGTGGACGTAGATCACAGACTAGGTGGAGTTGATATCAGCCCAACACGGCGTCCGAATCAGGTATTGCTGACGGTCGAAGGTTAGGGAGACGACTGAATGGGATGAAACCAACAAAGCCGTTCGAGTTTGAGGAGACATCGGATAGGATAATGTGTATTATTAGGGTGAAAAATCTTAACACTTACCACAGGGTGGTGACAACAAGCGATTAAATGAGACAGGATAAGGGTGGATTTATCCTTAGTAGACTAGCAATCAAGCATGTGTTGTGTTCGCTACTGTATGATATTATGGTACGAAAGATCTAGAGTTGATATGGATAGCAAAATCAAACTTATAAAGGATGACGGGAATGGATTTCTGATATGATGAACTAGATTACCTAGAATTTATTGGGTGAGTTGGTCAGTACTATAATCTAGGAGAGAAACTGAATGCAAGAGAAATGGTCACCAGTCCCCAAAGCACTTTTATCAGCCTCAGTTTACAATTGGTGCGTGTGCGAAAAAACATCTAGGAGAAAACTGAATGCAAGAGAAATGGTCACCAGTCCCCAAAGCACTTTTATCAGCCTCAGTTTACAATTGGTGCGTGTGCGAAAAAACATTAAACGCTGGTTCTGTATACTGGTAGTAGAGGGTAAGGAATCACATTCTATGTGAATACATCATTCGTCCTTTCGGCTATTCGATCACTGTCCTCCTCACACACTTTCACCTCACCCATTGAACATTGAAGGGCGGTTAATCCATCTCCTATTTCAGAAGATATTGCTCTGCGTCTAAACCGCCGCCCAAGAATCCCCACATATTTACCAACCTAAAGACATCTGATCCACTTAACATCCTTTAGTGTCCGTACTCCACTCAGCAGGGTTTCTGAAGGGAATAGTGTCTAATCAAATACGACTTGTGTACATCTTGCACAATATCATTGGCAACACATAATTAAACAAGGTTGTATTGGCTAACCCCCAATCGCCTAATAAACGCCCTTGTCTACACTTCCCGATCGGTGTCCACACCGAAGTTGGAGGCTTACTACAATAAAGGTTAACCTACTACTTGCTCAATTATTCGCGATAATGAGGTAGCCGTATGTACAGGTACCGTGAGCAACCAACACTTTTCGATCGTGGTAGATGCCTGCAACAAATGGTCGGAGATTCTTCCAATGAATAGCCCCACAACTGCTACCACAGTCCTGGAACTCCGACGACTTAAACCGTTTTGGAACACCAGAGACTACTGTGTCCGATAGCGTCAGTCAGTTCACGGATCAGTGTTCGCAGAATTTAGTTGAGAGTATGTCATAACTCATATCCGCTTTCTACCGTTTCATTCACAGTCGAATGGCCTGGCAGAACGTTTTGATGACACTGTAAAGCGTACAGTTCAGAAGTCCAAAAGGGGAGACTGGCAGAAGGGATTTCGCAAAGATTTTTGCTGTTATATAGAGCGACCCCGAACCGCCTGATGGAGTGTCAGCATTGCTCTGAAGGAAGTTCCGAACACATTATGGTACCATCCGTCCACAGAAAAGTTAGTCGAGTCAGCACAAAATGATAATGGAGCGCAAGTTCAACCGCCATCACGGCGCAACTGGGGGTTTCTTCAGCTCCTTCAGATGTATCCGGTAGACAAATCAAACCCGACCGACAGATGCACAGCTTCCGTCCGCAGGACCGAGTGAGTCCAGAAGTGCTTCTGGACACTTGTTCCCGTCACTATTGCGGAGTTCTTCAGGTTTGTCTCAGAACCATAGCTCGTGTGGGTTTGTTTCGGTTGTGCAACGGTTGCTTCCATTAAGGAATGTGTCCAGCACCAGAAGCTGCGTTGGTTGGGACATGTGTTGCGTATACCCAACCATCGTTTGTCGGAGATAGTGCTGTTTTCCGTGTCCAATTAATAGTGTCGAAATCAGGGAGGTGGTCAATCCTTGACCTGGCAGAGGAGTATGAAAGAAATTACTAAATTCTTGGGTGCTGTCGGTGCTACTTGCCTTCCAGTATGAAGGCCACTTGATCTCCACTGCCCTTTCACTATAAGACGCTGTTCAAAAACTTCCGGCGAATTTTTTGATGGGTAAGCATGTCAGTGAAAACCCTTTGAGTCTAATTGGACTTGTAAATTCAGGAATACTAAAACCGGGTCGTTTGCACATATGGCGTTGTTCTGATACCTGGTGGAGTGTAAAGATTCTGCCAACACAACCCCTACCATACCGGAATCCCGTTTGCTGCTCTGAAGTCAGTGCCTCACGAGCCACCATAAGGCGACAAGGCACATGTGACACCAGCATTGTTGTTATGACCGGAGTTAAGCTGACTCCCTATTGTTGCTACACTCACTCGGAGCGCATTTGTTTTGAAAATGGGCACTATCATCGACTTTCCTCCGAGTTGTCTGGGACAGTCCTTTCCCAAATGCAGACAAACAGATCAGACAAGCGTTGTCTGGGGATTTCATCCCCGTTTTTGAACAATGCGTGTGAGAGGTCATCCGGTGGCACTTGAGAGAACATGCTGACGAGTGTCAGTGGGGTCCGTCACTAAGAAACTGGACCTTACCGTGGTGTGACGGTTTGCGCACCTCAGCGATCCATTGAGCTATACTGGAGAGTGTCCCGCGACACTCACAGAGTCTCTCATACCAGGTTGGTCAATGGTCAATGGTCAGCGGGATGGCTCAAGTGGTTAGAGCGCGAATTTACTGACCGGAAGGTCCGTGGTTCGAACCCGACCTCCGCCACTCGACTTCCCCTGTCTAGGCTTGGGCAACCTGACAGTATCCCAGCCCTCGTGCTTCCTTCGGGTGGCATGGCAGCTAGGCACCGAAAGGGCGCTACAGCTGAACGATTATTATTCCGTCACGAAGAGACTGGACCTTACCGTGGTGTGACGGTTTGCGCACCTCAGCGATCCATTGAGCTATACTGGAGAGTGTCCCGCGACACTCACAGAGTCTCTCACACCAGGTTGGTCAATGGTTAGAGGTCTGACGAACACAGTCTCCTGGCCATCCAGGTTGGGGGTTGGAACATGTGGCGACTTGTTCCGTAGAAATGGATTTGCATTCGCATTTCCCGCCAAACACCGCTGCCTTGCGGTTAGGCTTTTGAGCCAAAGGCTTTGACTGAGGACCCTAATCGTCCTCCTGTCTAGGTGTGGGCGCCCTGGCAGTATCCCAGCCCACGTACAACCATGAATTGCACATACAAAAATAAACTAATGCCACATCGGCCGTCGCGTGGTGATGATGATCTATTTTCTCTAATCACTAAAAACTGTTCAGCCTTTTTGCGGCACAGCTACAATGCGACTCGAAGGGATCCTGGGAATCCGGACGCCTTCGGAATTGCAAGGACTAGATACACGCAATCGGAGAGCTCGGCATGGAGTCCCACCACAGATCTCATAACAAGAGCTGGATTTTCGACCTCCGAGCTGTATCCAGCTCGAGATTAAGAAGTCAATGGTGGTGCCCATTAATCAATATTCCAGGGTGTCCAATGAAATCGACAATGAAAATCGACACTTGAGAAGCTAGTATATCATGCACTGAACAAACGATGGATGAATGATAAATGAACTAATCTCACTGCATAGGTTGGGCTGGCCTGGCTACGTGCTCCATATACCAGTCGACCGGCTTCCTTGAAGCGTTCTTTTCACACAACCGGGTGGAAAGAAGAAAGAAAGAAAGAAAGCGTTCAGCTGAAGCACCCTTCCGGTGCCTAGCTGCCATGCCACCCGAAGGGAGCATTTGATTGCTTGAATGAGGGGAGGTGTGTGCACCTCGGAATGGTTGTAGTAAGCTAGTACCAAGTCCATTCTCCGCCCGCTTTTATCCTTTTCTTTACATTAAAGCTTTCAAAGAAATCATGGGTGTACGGCATTGAAGCATCAGCCTTGAACACTGATGTTATGCTGTCGATTGTGATTATGCTGATGTATGGTAGTGAAACATGGCCTCTTTGGGCAGATGACCTGGGGCGTCTTCAGATTTTTGACCAACGATTTTTCCGAAGTGTTGCTATTTTCGGATGAGTCAACGAATTCGTAGTGGTGTAATCAGAAAACGGGTAGTTGGTTGTGCAGCAGGTACTTCTGCGGCGACAAGCATCCGGCACTACCTACTGCGGTAGGTCGACCGTGTACTAGGCACGTCGGAATATCTACCGAAATAAATGTTGTTTTCTGTGTATCCTTCGGGGTGATGTAAACTGTGAGATGAACTTGGTGCAGGAATGTGAAAGAGATTCCGAAGTGTCTAGAAGTTATTGATGTAGTCGACCTTCGAGGATGAGGTTCCTGCACCTCCGCTGCACTTGGTTGCTGATCGATGTCAGTGGTGTTTGTGCTGTCAGATCCTTTCCATGTTATTCGACTGAGTACTTGAGGGCGTAGGCACCTTGGAATGCATGCGGCAAGCCGACTTCGGGTTCCTCCCTCATCCTCTTCTGTTTTTTCTAGTTTAGGGCTTTAAATACAATTCAGTGTGCTTATGGTGGCTCGGTAGTGTCAACACTGAGATTACTGTCTCTGACGATGATAGCCGTAGCCTTCTATTTGTTTTTCAGTTATACTGAGTGTACAGCGCTGTTATATCCAAATGTGTGGACGAACAGCCTGGTATGTTTTTCGATACAGCCCTACAATCAAACTACAGCGCACTTGATAAGAACACTATTTGCCAAAGATGCACCCTTAACCCGAGCAGTTCCAACAAGCCTCTGTTGCCGAGGTGGGATGACAAACGGAGCGGACACAAGTATGTCCCATCGTACAATTTGGCCCCAGGTTGTTTTACGTAAGTCAGATTTGTTCTTCTTTCCTTATCTACACCGAAAAACTGGACATAATGTCATACTTCTACCATCTTGATGTTCGTCCCATTCACGAAACTTATTTTGGTGCAGTAGTTGTGAAGGATGTACCAAAATAATACTGAAACCACCCTGTTAAAATGACTCATCCACCTTGGTACGTAGATTGCGCAACCCACAGGATTTCCGGCTTCTGTTTTCACTCTCCTGGCAATAAGGCACGGGTACCATTAATGCTTAACGAATCGTACGCGGTAGATGTGCGGAGAGTACATCCCCAATTGATCATGAGGATTAATGTTTGTTTGAGTAATGCAGAAAATTTTACTTCTTAAAGCAGAAATGCAACACTGGATTATGCTTCTTATAAGTTTTCAGCGTTGTATCTGCCAATTTGGGTCTATCCTGCAATATCCCAGGTATCAACTAATTAGCAAAACCGAGTGCCCGATCTCTATGCTCTTTCCAACCACCATTATATTTCTGGGCAACAGAAACGAGGTTTTCTTTTAGGCGGGATGGTTTTATTCTATCGGAATATTGTAAACCCAGTTTGCTTAAAGGATCTACAGGACGTATTGTTGAGTTTGTTAATGTGTACCGGCGCCGCTGTCGGTAGTCTTTGCCAGGAGAAGCAACTTTCCAGACGGAGATCCCTGACCGTCGATTGATGAAGCCTGTAGCATCCTGGAACTGCCCTTTTGTGGAATATGGTTTCAGGTCAAGATGGATGGCTTTTCTCGATGCACACCAGTTTGAGACTTGGTATCTGGGTTCTGTCTATCTGAAAAGGGTAATTTTAACTAAACTGTATTGCCTAACTTGCCATTCATGGTGTGTAGTTTGCAAATCAGAATGATTTTGGTTATCATTCAGGTTAGGCAGCCCATTTTCGTCTTCCTGACGTAAAGGAATGTCACGATGGTTTTTTGACAAATGTCTCATTTTCAGACCTGTGTTAGTCCTTGGAAAATTTGTCGGGGCTGAATCCATTGTTGCCATACAGCCGATGTACTGGGGTTTGGTTCCCTCATTTGCTCCAAAAGAATCTTCGGCCAGTTTTGCCACCTCTAATGCACGCATTGAGTCACTTCTCCAAAAACCGACCTATGGAAGCTCAATGCGACAAGGCAAGAGATGCGTCGTGTTGGCCCAAGGGTAGGCGTTTACAACCCATTGACATTCTGTTGACGTCTTTACCGTCGAACTTCCGTTGATTCACATCTAGCCTCATTGTGTTATTCGTCGCCTAAAAACATTGTTCAACGATCTCTAAAGTTGTTAACGGACCTTTGGCAGACGGTCTTCGTGCGTTCAATAAAGAGACAAGGCTGTTTAGGCCGCAACCAACCATATGCTACAGTTATCCCTGATAACGAGTTTTCCCTGCTTTGGCAATGCATGCGTCTTTTGGGATATATACAGCGTTCTTTCTGTACACCATCTTGGTTGGATGTTCAAGGGGCTCCTTCAGGAAAATAACCCGAAAACTGCCCCATAGGTCTACATAATCTAAGATAGTTTCCAATTTTATACACCGGGGAACCTACCCTTGTGCGTTGGGTCACAAGGGTTGTAGATCATGATGTAGATCACGCGTTGTAGATCACAATGAAAAGAACGATAAGACGATATGATGTGACGTAGCTTTATTTCTGTAGGGTACTACAATCATTTCTTTTGCATGTAACTTGGTCTTCTTTCCTCAAGCAGTGTTTTCTTGCAGTTTCTACGAGTGGAAGACGACTGATGGTCGTAAACAGCCTTATTACGTATATCCAAGTGGTAAGCAGTATTCATTCATGACAATTTCGCTTCAGACCCGAAAAAGTTGCTCATGATGGCTGGAGTGTTCGCGTTTCACGAGCAAAAACAAGTAGGTCCTTTACGACCGTAATCTTCAAGATGCCGCATCTACCAGCTATTTTCCTACTCTGTCATAACAGCCGATAGTGTCGGTATTGTGGCAGATGTTCACCACCGAATGCCTGTTGGTGCCCCTTTTGGAATCCATAATTCCTCTTCGTAGGTTGTTCTGACGACGGACGATGATGTAAATACATGGCTAGATCCTTCAGTCCTGAACCCTCAGCAAGTGAGTTGTATAATTGAAGTTACAAAACAGCCTACAGTAGCATGTTACAGTCTTGCATGAAGAAGTTTCATGATCGTTTAGTTAAATTTGACCTATTTTGCCCTTTACTAGGAAAACTCAAGAATGTACGTGTACACGAACCTTATTTGTTTGCTGCGTTATCAGTCACTCACTACGCAAAGTCGCCTTTGTTTCTGTTGTCAGCTTTAACTTTTATGCAGAAAGTGCGTGCTGAAAAACATTAACTTCACGCAGGCGCACTCTAGAGCGGCGAACATTACAACGTTTTACAAGGGAATGCGCGTGAATTCAGAAGTGTCGATTTCTGCGATAGCTTGGCTGCATATCTGTACTGACTTTTCACCAGTATGCCCGATGTCAACTTCCCATCGGGTTCCGTAGGTATCATACCATTGATGATGTGTTGATTTCATGTAACACAATTATGGATCAACGAATGAGGTTCAAACAGAGTAGGTTAAAACAGCTTAATGGTTAGCCAACTGAGCAGCTATATAAGAAAACGGATAACTAAATTCATCCTTTTGTCGTCTTTACGGGAATGAACCACATTGGACCAGAGATTCTGCGTTGCGTGCTTGCATTCCCATCATCGGTAGCATCGATTCAATCACCTCAGTGACATTGAACCGCCCGGTTTTACTGCACCCGAGTGAGGCTTATCCACCCTGAGCAAAAACGTGTCTTTAGCACAGTGCATGAATACTACTCACCCGATAGATTGGAAACATTGTACGCACTGTTCACAAAGTATTTTTGACCTTTGACAGCGCAGTTCTGGCTGGAATGAGGTTACTTGGGTTTCCCTTGAAATTTCGGCCATTTTTTATGTATACTATCCACTCGTGGCCTGCGGTAAGGAGACCGAAGACCCTCCATCGTTCTGCTACCAAAAAAAACAACGACCTATCTCAGGAATGCAAAGGAGCAGTTCGACATCTGGAAGTTGCACGTCATTTCAGTTGGTGAATCAGCTGCGGTCCGAAATCTGGAAACTTAGTAGAGTTCCTCGTATTCGATACAATTGTGACGCTGTTCATCATACAGTGTAGTTCACAGGTCCTGTTGTGAAGCTATTCAATAAGTTCCATCTAGTTCTGGTTGTGAGACTGCACACGTCCCGTCACCAGTTTCTTTTTGTTTGGGACTCATCTGGCAGACGTGGTCTCCGGAGTCTGTAAAAATCAAAACTCAGCTCGAACGGCAGATTTCGTGCAATATTCAAACCAGAGAGAATCTATTGAACGCCTTCACTATAGAATCTCGACGTTGTCCTTGTTAGATACATTGTACTGCAGAACATCGCCGTTGTGTGAATGCGAAGGTTCTTAACGAATAAACAGTTCTAGCAACTATGCATACACACGAGTTCAGAAATCCACGACCTAGTCGCTATTCAAATTGAAGAGTGCTTCTCACGAATTCCGGTGACTACGATGAGCCCTGACCAGAGCGAAACGGGTGGTGAGTTTTTCGATTCTCGGCAAGGATCTTTACCCTTGAGATGAACATTTGAAAAGAGCATTTTTACACATTCTGCACTTGGCTAACGAATTTCAATCTTCCGTAGATATTTTCTTCTGGTTTGCCACAGTATGAGAATTACCACTACTAACATTTACAATACTCTTCTACCCGAGATATGTTTTGTCGCAGCACGGGAACCTCTCCAAAGGCCAAAAGTTATTTTGTTAGGAAACATTCAGTTTTTACTGTCTGACGTAGCGGTAGAATTGTTGCCATCCTCAGGGAAGTTCCGTCCCGCAGAAATTCTCTAAACTATACCGTAATTCAACGGTAGGTGTCTTACAACGTTAACAAGTGTTCATAAGAGAAAGAAGAGTCGTAACCGACTCACCATTTGCTCCTCCATATGCGCAATTCATTTTTGTTAATCAATATAACCACTATTTCGGGTTTTAGGCACAAGCATTTCTTACAAGGATTGCTTCCGAGGCGAAACTCGCTCCTTTGTCTATGCATCCAGTCACACAGCGGATGAATTCCACGAGGTATAACGAGCCAGACTGCATCGCACCACTAACTGAACCGGTCGACTCCAAGTAAGTTGCCTAAAACTCGATACACATAAATGCTGCATTCTGGTGCGGAATAAGGTGGATTTTGCTCACGATAACATCGAATCTATCTTTTCATGTTAGCCGGAATTAATCAGTCAAATCATACTGTCGTTTCAAATTCTCTTTACTCACGGTACGCATATCAACCGAGCCGGGTGGAGTCACTTTCACATTTCATCCGTGAAGGAAAGCCACGCACGACCCGCCGAAATTCACCTGCGAGAGCGTTTCCGCTAAAATATGAGTCAAATAAATTGATTGCCCTCTCCTGTCATCTGAACTCTACTCATTACTGCGCCTATAATACCTGTTCTACTTGACCATTACTCTGCCTTCCAGCGCCCTACTGAAACGTCGGTCACAAAAATCGATTATCCATTAACGGTACCTCGCAACTAGTCGCTAGGGTACTGCAAAATTTAAAAGTTGCTTTTAGTGATGCTAGAAAACCCGCTGTTTCAGTAAAGCGAACGCTGCACAAACGTGGTCAGCTCATTTGTTAAGGTCAACAGGTTGCGTTCCCCTCAACAAAGAAATCGGGCTTCCCAGTAGCGAAATGTTTCGTAAAGGGATAGCCTAAGTGACTGCTCTACAGTAAGACTGCATGGAGTTTTCACTATGCAACACTGAAGATCTTTCATCCCGTTTGCTCTTATTCCATCAGCATACTAGGGTGTCAACCGCTGATGTCCTTGTCTATCGCTGTTTGATGAATATAGGTTGATTACATCAAAGATGCCTGCCAACAAAGGCCTATTTACGTAGTAGGTTCGTAGATCGATCAACTGTATTGTTTGGCTTTCAAAAAGACAGATTTGATGAGCCAAACGCCGGACGTTACGTGTGAGATAAACAGGTACATTTGAATCAGTATCTACACATTTGTTCATGGGTCGAACTGGAAGAGAAACCATTCGGCCACCGGCGGTAACGCGGTCTCTGTGAGTAGTCAGACCGAGAAGTCTGTAGGTCTTTGACAGCTGATCCAGAAATGCAGTCTGAGTGGGCTAGTGCCCAAAAATTCCGCAACAGCTTCCTCAAGTATCTACTGAACGGTGCTGTTTTTCGTGCCTAATTCGGAATGGCGTTAGCGGAGAGATCACCAACACTTGACTTGTTGGAAGGATATTAAATAGGTCATGTGTTGTCCGCATTTCCGGTGCGATGTGCCTCTCAGGACGGTCTGCATTGTCCGCCTTGTGCTCGGACCGAGACACTGGAGGATACGGCCAACTATTAATGTTAATAGCGTCCCTCCTCCCAGTTTCTGTTTTGGCCGTCTGAATTAATGTGTGCAGGTATATGCACTTCGGAGCTCTTGTATTAGAGTGGCGCAAGGTCTTTTCCCTCGTCTTATTTTTCGTCGGACATGCCGTATTTTCCACTCCAAGCACCTGTTGGCGAAAAGTTTGCGAGGCAAACCATGAAGTGGCAACGTGAAATGAAAGCCATTCATGCCAAGTTGAGCACCGTGAGCTCTTCGCAGGTAGGGTCGGCGTGATCGTTTTTGCGCGTGCATGCAATGTAGTCGATCCCAGTCACGAGTATGCTGTCACCTCTCAGCCGGACTGTCTAGCTAATGCTTGTTTATCGCTGTGTACTGAGGTTCACAAAGGACAGTGGGTCAACCCCACTGATGGCATCTTGCCACAGCATAATGCTCAGACCTGTTAACCTCAATGATTTTGGAAGACGTTTTTGGTCTCTTCTAAAGACGATTATTTTTGCAATAGGTTCCCACCCTTCCCCTTCTCACGCGAGATGGTCCCAGTGGTTAGAGCGCGAATTTACTGACCGAAAGGTCCGTGGTTCGAACCTGACCTGTGCTTCTCGACTTCCCCTGTCTAGGCTTGGGCAACCTGACAGTATCCCAGCCGTCGTGCAACCTTCAGGTGGCATGGCAGTTGGGCACCGAAAGGGTGCTACAGCTGGACCTGCTGCTGATGACATTAACAGCGAATTATACACTTGTCTTGCAGTAAGACACAGTTGTGCGATTTCCTAGAAGACCCACTTCCAATCTCTAAGAACATGTTTGCCTAGTCTCATTGGGATTCGCTTTTTTTCAACAACGATCATCTTATCGTCTGTGCCGAATGCTCGTTTGACATGGTCACAATTTTATCTTCTTTTAGGAAGTCAATCAAGGCCCGAGGTTCATCAAACTTGATGATCAAGTTCTTAAAACGCTCAGAGGAAGTTCAGGCGACTCAGCCCGCGAGCAAAAAACAGGCATGTGATGACGCTTGTATTCCAGTAGAAAAGCATGAAGAGAAGAAGCAAGACCAGATAAAAACGGAGCCGCATTAATTAAAGCACAGCGCTTTTAATTTTTGTTCTACGGTATTTTTCTATAAATATTATTGTAAAATTGCATTATCACTGCCATTCACCCAGTAACATCGAAGATATTAGCAGGTTATCACAGAAGTCAGGTCATTGTGGGCGCAAAACCAGTTTCTTAGCCAGAATCGCCCTTTTATCAGCCACCCTGGATTTCGCCGGTAGTTTCGAATTTGCCTGTGGGGGAGCAAAGAGACAAAAGCAGCGTGCGATCGGTAACATTTCATTCAATTCGAGTGTTTATTCCATTGCAACAGAGTTGACGAAAAGTGTTACCGATGATGATGTTACGGACACAGGAGCTCACAGTTTCATTAATCAATGTGGGAAACGTGGAAGTGATCGTATAGCTGTTCACTTGAGGAAGTCAGGAGTTAGTAGTCACTCGTTAAACGTGATGTTTCGGATGCGCGAATGCCCATGCGACGGTGCCTGTCGGCATGCCTAACCATCGACATACTCCTACACAATCAGGAAAGTACTGCTGGAGACTGGCTAAGCCCACAAGTGTCTTTGTTAAATTTGGTGGCAGTACTAAATCTTGACAGTCGTCACTGATCTTGAAGTGGCGTGAGATAAAGACATTGTATTATGTGCTACAGAGAAAGAGGGGAGCTACTGTGCTCGCTTTTGTAATCCGTCCCACCGCTAATAATGGTTTCTCCAATTAGTTTGCAACTATGGCACACGGAATTTCTGGTCTTTTTTCACGGACATATCTGAGTCCTATTGTTTATTCGATCTATTACGTCCTGCTGACTCTTAAGTAAATGGGCTAGGAAGCAGCCATTAGATTCATGTTAGGTGTCGACTGATGTTTTTACTCCGAATGCGTTTGAGGGGTCATTACACTGGCAGCGTGAATAACTGGCTTGCGCTCTCACCTACTAACGGTTGCACAGTTGCTCTAGATCGACACGGATTATAGCGTCACAGAGAAAACGCACAGGAACGCTGTTTTACTTATGCTGTTTTGTGTTTCCATTATCTCATCAATAGCTGTCGTCTCGGTGAGGGTTGGGCCTTAGTGCTATACTCAGCCTGTGGGCCACGTTCGCGAGAACCTTGTTGCTCAATCTGAATCCAAACCAAGGATGCCAAGTACAGTTACGCGACTTCAACACAACAAATTACTTTGCCAGTGGGATAGCAAAACAATGTATACAGTCGGGCATGAATCGCATGGTAGGAACGAGCTGAAGAGGATCGAACAATGCATCATTTGAAGGAGCGAGTGAAGGTGAACTTTCACAGTGGTTGTACCGCCGATTGAAATTGTACGCTTAGGGTGAAGCAAACTCTCCAAGGGGCGATGCTTCGTTCCGTCTTCAACGTTTACCACTGATGTGCGAGCAATTTTATGGGCGTTTGTATTTAGGCCAGAGTAATGTACGTGGGTACTGGATGGACAGAACCATAGGAATACGGGGAAGCGAATCGACTTACTTCTTGTGGTAGTGGGGTGGAAGTGAGGGGATTGTATTTTGTTTGTGCCCGCTCTCTTTTCTCTCGTATACGGTTGGTGATTTCAGTGAACGGATCCGGCGGCGCAACAGGTTGTTCTTGGAATACAATTGTGCTCAGTCGACTCGTCCGCTGTGTTACCGTTTTCGGCATATCTGGCGATGTCATGCAAAACATGACAGGTTTTCTTGAACTGGGTTCGTTGGGCGAACTTCGTACAGGAGAGGAGTGTTTACCAGGACGCACAGTTGGGACTGACGATACCAAAGCACCTCGCCAAGGGAATTGGGAATTTGCCCCAAATAAGGCATCAGGTTGGCGCTGTACTGGTGAGTTTGATTGTGATCGACTAGGCGGTGCAGTAGCCAGGAGAGAGAAAACTGCCACAAGAAAAGGAGGAATGTGACCCTGCACCAGTCTTGCACGGAAAACGTGAATAATCATCGTTATTTTAAGTCCTTCACTCATGGAGAATGACCTCAGGTCTCAGTTTGGAGTTGTCCCTTTTGGGAATGACCAACTCCCACTGACTACGTAATCCAATATTGCTATTAGTACTTCAGTGAAGCACTGAAGCCAGTCAAGTGATTTTATGACTCCCTTCGAAGTCCTCAAAACATAGATGACTCTTATCGTCTACAAAAATTGTCGCGGGGACAGTGCCTTTGAAAAACTACCGTTTTTCGAACGCTGTTTCGAATGTCACATCCAAACTTGTACGTGATTGATACTGTCGCTGTGGTTGGTATATTCACACATTTTCGTCACGATTTAACATTGATGCAACAAAATCTGGTCTGTCATCGTTTCACAAGACAGTAATTGGATAAAAGTCGGTGCACCCAGGAGATTTGGACTCCGCGAAGTACGAAGATACCTGTGTGAATTTGGATCACGCGCTTGTTCGTTGTTGCTTCTCGTCGAACACATCTCGCCCGGCCACTGATAAGTTTTCGGACCTTGATGTTAAACAAGTCTACCAAAACCATCGATTGAAGTCACTTTTGGACAACACGTCTGCTGGCGTTAACTTACTGGAAGGCACTGTCCGTATACCTGCGAGATGCTGGTCGACCCGCTCTTAAGGACAAAACGAGTGGTAGTTTTCCAAGGCGTGGTACTCCACACAAAAAACGATTCAGCCTATCGGCCACTACAAACACCCTACTGCGGGGACTCTGAATCATATGGGAAATCAAACAACCTAACAAAAACCGACGGACCAACAGGAGAAGGTTAACGAAAATGGAAGGTTATCGAATCAACCAATCACGTAGAACGAAATCAGATCACAAAAACAGGAAGGAAACGGTTCAGTCGGATTGAAGGCGCCCAACGAGCCTACCAGATACAAGGAAGTCACATCATAACACTAGTGACCAACTAAATTACGCAATCACATGTTGGCCAGCTGAGTTGGTGGAGTCAAGTGCTTCTGAGTGCGGATAATGATGGCGCTCGATTCAGCTGCATTCATACACTTGGTGGAAAACGTGCCTAGTCTCGTCGGTTGGAGGTGGTAGTCCATCTTATTCCGTTCCAAACAAGCAGGTGATCAGCGAAGGGCTCCGATTTTAGCCCCAAACGTAAGGGCAATCTGCTTTACCAAGACATGCGTGTTCGCACGCACCGCCAGAAATTTGCTGACGGATTCGAATGGGAATTATTGCCAGTTAATTCAATTTCGATGGCACCATGACACATTCATTCATTACTGCTGTTTACGACCGTTTGTTGTGTGAATTTACTTTATTTATCCCCACGGATTGAACGTAGGATTTCGAATAAACACCTGAATTATGCCTGTACGGTACACATCACGCGATCTGCAGCTCTTATTCAGCCGGGTGCCCGTTGTGAGTTTTAGAACAACGCCTCGGACTGTTTTGAGCCTTGAATAGAAATAAACCACGGACCACCCAACCTACGCTTCCTGTGACTTCGTATGGCTGGCTACAACACGGATAAAATTGTCTACGTTATGTTCAGTTTAAATCATGGCCTAACAATTCGCTCCGGACATTATTGTCTCTGAACATCCTGCTTCGACGTGGCTAGTGTTGGCGATTCGTAACCTCAGCTAAGAAGTGTTAAATGGGATTTTGTGGGCCTAAGTAAGGGTTTAGCGTTTGACCCCCATTTAAAGCGACCTAATTTGAGACCACAGATAAACTCAACGTGGCATCGTCGGCGCGCAAAAACCAAAGCAAGTTCTAGAGATTGATGTGAGGATCATTCTAGAGAAAACCTACTCCAGCGTACCCGGGTAAGATGTTACGACATGAAGTCCGAACCGTAGCACCGGTAGTTAGATTGCATGTCGCCAATCCTCGTCAAAGGCTTCTAATGTGACGTATCATAAGTGTGCACTGGAAGAACATCATAGCTGAACCAGCACTGTGAGAGAAAGCGTTCGGTAGTGTAACTTAGTCCCTCGCTTTCCGGAAGATGGATGACAGCTGCATCGGACGAATTCCACGTATGAACGGAGCTTTGCAGCGAACTGTCCTATATTTTCGTGCCAGATGAACCATTCATGATATGCCAATCAGTCGGTGATGTATGGGTTGAATATCGAAGAAACTTACGTTCTTTGTTCTTGCCGGTCAACAACAGCAATCTTGTTGTCTTGAAAGTTTCTGTAAACAAGGAAAATTAGAATGGTTTTTTAAGGACATGTTCCACAAATACCCAATACATTGTCACTCAAACTTTCGGACATTCACTAACTAACTGCAAAGAAGGCGAAACGCAACCTTCTCGTCGCTTGGTTTTTATTTCGGAAGTAATTCTGCTTAGACAAGCTTCATCTCATTCAGCCAAAGTGATACTGAGTGGTGTCTATGTAAAAAGAAATCTCCCGGTATATTTTCGACGAATCTCACCACGGGCCAAACACCTAAAACAGCAAATCAGGTCGCTGTCCAACGCATGAGAATGTCAGTTTTGTGGTGCTTTGACTAGACTTGAACTGGGTAAGAAATTTGAGTTCAACCTAGCAGCCAAGGGGTCAATCGAGTAGCCCTTCTATCGTCGTCAATACAGTTTTCTGCAACAGCGGGGTTTCGTATTCTTAAACGTAAAACGACAAACTACGCATCACTCATGCTGAATAGATGCATACACACAGATAGAGTGAACAATGGGGCACCGCATAACAGTGTTGCAAGCAGGATAAAGTACATAACAGTGCGTAATGAAGTGGTGTAACAAACAGACTGAATGAAGATGCACTTTCGACGGAAAGCTTTCAAGGACACGCATCGACGTGCACAGTGAGGCAACGAAATAATGACTGCGTGTAGGACAATATCTGGAGATGCGCACAACTATTACCTCTGTGGACGTAGAGCGACCATGAGATAGGATTTCTTCTGAGTAGACAGCACCTTCAAGATTTCAGGAAGCTTACTTTTTAATTGGATGCCAGCATCTGTGTCCGGTAAGTAAGCCCGAGGGATTCGACCGTTGTTATCGTAAAGTCCAGGATCAGCACCTTCAAT